TATTATTATTATTATTATTATTTTAATGAACATGTAGAGTTATTGTTTTCTCATTAGAGTTACGATAAATTTGTTTCTTTTCCATGGTTAAATTGTAAACAGTTATAATTTTTGTGGTAGCTGCTTATACAAATCAAATTTAGTCTTTATTTATTTTTATTTTATGCTAATTGCCATTTATGACCGTTACTTGAGGAAATATTTAACAATATTGAGAATAAGAACCTTTAAGCTAGTTAAAGCTAGACTTTAATGCTTTTTTGCTGCCAAAAAGCTCGCACTTTTCGCTACTAGTGGGCTATAACATATAGCCTAGTAGCAGCTCAACCAATCAGAATGCAGCATTGATAATAGACCACTAGTTGGATTTTACTAAATACTGTTATACGTTGATTCTGATCGTTCCTTCCATTCTGCAAGCTCATGATTTTTCACTCTTTTAATTTATCTTCTTTTTTTTTCAGCCTCTCAGAGTGTAGAGGATACAGTGGGATCTGTAAGACACAAAAACTGTCCTGTTAGTTTACATCCATGTGCTAGGGATGCTTATCTGCTTTTCCAGGTGAATCACTTTGAAGATCAGTGGATGATTTCCCACTGGTTTGTCTCTTGTTTTAGGTCAGGAAGGCTCAAACCTGACTTTTCTTCACCTTAAGCTGTTACCCTGGGGTGGGTACTCAGCAAAGTTTTATACAGGGAGGTTCTGCCCTGAGATCCAATCCCTTAATACTCTTAAAATATATACCATTTTTTGGCAAAAAAGGTACCCCTTTTATATACCTTCTACTTAAAAATGGTACCCCTTTTGCATATCTAGTTTAGAATTTTGCATATCTTATAACTTTTGCAAATTATTGATTCATTGTCTTTAAAATCTCAAAGCCACGAAGTTTTCTCTACTTTTTAGATTTGAATTTGATTAGTTTCTTGATGACATGTTCAGCCAGATCTTAATGGAAAAAAATTTATCAAGCTTTCTTTTTTGCCCTCTCTTCCCAAAAAACCCAAAATGTGTGATCTCAGATTAAAGAGAAGTGGGTTCTTAGGTTTTAGATCAATGATGGGCAGTTAGCAGCTGACTTTTACGCAGCACTGTGACTGTACACTGCGAGACTTCATGTAACACTTATCTGACATTTGTAAAGAGTCTGCCAATAATAATAATGACTCGATGTTATTCTCTGTAAATGTGATGTCTTCCGTTTTAATAATTGGCATGTATCTTAATTTATTTTCAAGGATTTGTGTCAACTCACAAATGGAGAGCAGCCCTACTGGTTACATGGCATTGTCGAAATGACGAGAACTTTTGGTTTGGAGCTGTTGGAAAGTGTGCTCAAAGGATATCCTAATATATTTTTGAAGGTGAAATTATTACTAGTGTGTTCTTCTTTGGGCTCTAAAAATTCACGTGGTAAAATTCACGTGATGTTTATTTTTTACTTATATTGCTGCAAGGTAAAAACACAAAGAAAATGAATGGGTCCCAGATTGAAATTTGGAAGTTGTTGTTTTTAAGGAGAGGGGAAAAGTGGGATTCCTGGAGAAAAACCCTCAGAGTAAGGCAGAGAACCAACAACAAATTTAATCCATGTGTGGCATCATTGCCAGGATTCAAACATGGGCCTCACTGGTGGGAGGCGAGTACTCTCACCATGGCACCAGCCTTGCTCTCCGTTAGCTAGTAAAATTGTTTGATCATTCTTTAAGTCAGTTTATCTTTAAGCCAGTTTTTTATCGGAGGGTGTTTGGATAGATCAAGTATTGGAAGGCTCGTTGATGAACTCTAAGAATGAGTGGAACTATTTCTGCATTCCACACGTGGTAGTCGCACGTGATCACAAAAAATAGAATACACCATGTTGGCTTACATGGCACTGGCGAACATGCAGACTATTTTAGTGCATCTTACATGAAAATTTTATTGACTGACAAGGCTGGTAGAGCGAAATATATTTTAAAACCTCTAGAACGTTTTTATTTTTACATGTTACATTTTGTATATGTGCGTTGAATATGGTAAAGACGTGATGTCTTATTTTGCAAGTAGTTCAAGTAAGCCAGTTTAATACTCCATAAATTGGTGTAAAGAGAAACATGTCACCACTTTTGTCTTTTTTTTTCAGCATCCTGAGTTTAGTTTCCTCTTAAAGGAGAGAGTTTGTCCTTTGATCATAAAGCTGTTCTCTCCAAGCATCAAGCATCGAGTCAGTTCATCACCAACTGTGGAGAAACCTCTGTATCCTGTCGCTGTCAGACTTCTTAGGATTGTGTCTGTTCTCATAGAAAAGTTCTATACACTATTGGTGAGTTGTTTTCTGAAATGAATTTTGAACCTGTAAGCCTGAATATCAAGATGCATATTCTCGACACGGTATTCATACTTATCTTGTGGTATCGAAGAGGAGAATTTGTTTTTTAATCAACATTGCTAGACTGGAGTTTGAGGACAGTAAATTGAAAACTGAGGATGATGGATATCACAACTATGTCTAGTAATTAAAGAAAGCTGTTACATGTATGTTAATGTAGCTATCCAATTTTATTTACCTTTCAGGCTTATACATGCGTTCCTAATTAAAATGACGAGAATTTGAACGTGCATAACTTATCAGGTTTTATCTTAGTTTGCCATGGTAATGGTTTTCTTTTTTTTTGCTCTGATCTGATGGCTGTTCTTTTTTATAAGCATAAACTATAATGTAGATAGATCTCCCTTGTCTCCAATTGCATGCATGCCAACTCTCCTGGATTATCTGGGAGTCTCCCGGATACAACACCAATCTCCCGGTCTTCCATACAGGTCACCATATCTTCGGGATAAGATAATCTTTTGAGCTTTCCTGTGCCTCAGTTTGAGATTTAGCCCATTTTTACCTCAAAACTGAATTTTTTCTTATTTGTAGTACGGTTTCTGGGGCATTAAGTTACTGACAAAGATCTTTTGTGGCATCAAAACAATAATCGCAAATTTTGATAGTATATACCTGATGTAAGTCTTCATATAGTGCCTTTAGTCATTCCCATATTTGTCAGGGGTGGGGAGGGGGAGCAGGGTTCATTGAATTTCCAGGGGGAGGGGGTGGCCTGTGAGCAAGCTGATCTTTTTGCTTGTTTGTTTTATGTTGTGGTTGTTGGGGATTTTATGGAACAAAATTAACACTAAAGAGTTATCATTCCCTTACTTTTTTAATCACTGCGAAATTTAGTGATTGTAGTGGTCATGTGTTGAGTAACCATTGCACAGTTTTGAAAAGGACAGGCCCATGTTGAACCAAATGTAATGTCAAGCCTTAATAAAACTCAGAAAGATACTCAAATTATTGATGATTAGTAGGCTGAGACCGATTACACCCTCCTCGATATCCTTAATTCTTCAGATTATACTCAGCCTCATTCAATAATTGTTTTATTATTCATTCAAAATAATTCCTAGTTTAAAAACAGGCTAAGACATGCTTACCTCCATTGACGTCATGTTTAGGAGCTAATATTCTCCAAATAGCAGATGTCAACCTTTGAGTTGTCTTCTTCCTGTTCTTGCTATTTTTTATGTAATAGTTTGCCTTACTCTTCCCTGTGAAATGAGCTGAGTGAAGTGATCACTTTTTTTGTTCTCGGTACCAAAACAACTCATCCTTGTCCCCTGGTTTTCTTAATAAATGTTTTTTTGAAGTAATCTGCAACTTTTCTGCACTTTTGATGTCATCAGTCTAATATGGCCAACCGGAAATGGAGAAATATTTTGAATGAATGGTAATATCATTTTGTTATGCTTTATTCACTTTACATAACTTAATATTCCTTTCTCTCATTACTTGACAGGTAACAGAGTGTGAAATATTTTTATCTCTCCTGGTAAAATTTTTGGAGCCTGATAAACCTCAGTGGCAAAGAGCATTAGCTCTTGAAGTACTTCACACTCTTACCATTCAGCCTGCTTTGCTCAGGTAAAACTCTAACCTCAAATGATTATCAGATAGAGTTTTTCTATCCTTCCTCCTAGCTATAGTTTGACAGTTAGTATTGAATTAATATTAATTTGCACTAAGAGGTCATGTGACATCGTTTAAATTATGAAAATGAAAGTTATATGATTTTGCCTTCGAAACGCGCTTAGAGGGTCATATCTTAAACAAAACAATAGTGATTTTTCAAACCTGCACCATTTTCTTAAAATGAGTAAGTTCGTAGCTGGTCATGTGACCAAAATGTGATTTTTAAAATTATGAATTACCTCTTTCTGAACACAAATTTTGCACTTGAACTTCAAGGAAAATGTTGAAAAGATGATGTGGTAACGTTTACAGCACATCTGAGTGTAACTATCAAACATTTAACAAGATATAAGCAAAAAGTTGTTTTGTCTGCCATGTTGGAGGCTCCAACATGGCAGCCAATACAAATCATACTACTTTGTTGAAAAATCAAAGTGCCATATAATATCTCCCTTAAATGCGTTTCCTCTCAAATTTCGGGTGTAAGATAATTTTTATGTGCTCTGTCAATTTTTGGCATCCACAAGATTCCAACTCATTCTTTAAAGGAAGCATTGGTCACGTGACCTCTTAGTGCAAGTGGCCTATTAGCAGTAGTAATTAAATGCACTGCATACAACATAGATCTTTTAATATTATTCTCTTCAAATTACATGATACATTGTACGTATTTCATCCACAGACTCAAAGTTGCATCTTCTTTTTTATACAGCACAGAATCAGACAAGTTGATACTGCACAGATATATTGATTGGAAATAAGATAACTCTTGATAGGATTTTTCTAAAATTAGCTTACTCAGCAGATAAAAACACTTTCTACAAAATGTTGAATGTCTAGATAGAACATGACTTTTCAGGTTTATCCAGGTGAAATTCACTGGACGAAAAAATAGATTGGCACAAATTTGCTCCTTGCAAATATGTCGCAAATATGTAAATACTGAGGAGTAAATTTATGGCAAAGATGGTTTGCATACCAAAAAACAGGGGGTGTAAATAAAGTACAGTGAAACTAGAGACAAATGTGGCATTTATCATGTGTGTTTGCCACATAATTTACTTCTCAGTATTTATTTATTTGTGATGTATTTGCAAAGAGCAGGTATGTGCAAATCCAATTTTTATCCTGTTAAAATGGCAGTCCTGTTTTCTCTGTCAGAATGTTCGAAAGGGAATTTTGTTCAAACTCATCTTTTGCCTGTGGCCTCTTTCATTTAAATGGAGCTGGTCTGTCCTTTAATACTAAACACATTAATTTTTTTTAATGGAATTTACTAGTCCTGAATTTTGCTCACCATTTGCCAATTGTTGCAAATAACAGCCAGTCATCTAACTATGGCTTATGTCACAGTTATACAGCTGAAGTCCAACAAGTGATCTTTGTCCAGACAAAGTTATTATGAAAGACTGTCATTTTGAAGATGATTAAAATCTATCTTGAGTGCACGTGAATTGTCTCAACAACAGCATGGTATAGTTGTAGTGAATGTATGATTATAATGAAACTTCCTACAAATCCTGCATATAGGGCCATGCCCAATTTTCATTTATGACTCCTAATGCATTCTGGATTGAGTCCGACCACATTAATTTGTGTTGTGTGTGACCAAAATGGTGACTAGTAGGCCAACTGATAATATTGTCTTTCAAGAAAGAAAAATTATGCTTGCAGGTCTGTTTTGCCTAACCTAGAATCACCAGTTAGCCCATGTAAATGGTATTAAAACAAACATTGACTTCTAAACTGTGATTTATTTCTCCAGGTCATTTTGCCTGTTTTACGACATGCAGGAGCACTCCACCAGAATTTTCCATGACATGGTAAATGCACTAACGAGCTTCACCCAAGGATTATTTACCAGTCAAGTGACGCACAGTTTTTCAGAGAAAGGCGCACACTTAGCCAGTGCCAACACAATACAGACCCCATCTAGTGCTCCGCCCCCCTCAGTTGTAGCGCTGAGTGCAATGGGCGGGGTCACCCCACAACCTGGATTCTCTTACAGGGGTGCATGGATACCCCTTTCTGTTATGCCAGTCTATGGACAAGCTAAACCTGTTTAGTAAGTTGCTTTTTAATACCTTTTTTTATTTTAGTTCAATGGTTCTGGGTAGTGAATAGGGAGCTTAAGCAACAACGACAGCTGCAGCTATGAAAACATCACTTTAAGAGTGAATTCGCACTGCCTCAAACTTTATGGCACTTATTCCATCTTGTTTAATTCGTCAAATGTCAGGGTTGTCAGAAAGGTTTGAAGTAGATTGTTGAGGTGTCAAAGTAAGCGGCCAGTCCAGGGATATTTTATTTAAAAAAACGCCATCCGTCAAGAAATGCCAAGCAGAGTAGCTGGCCGATATTAACTAAGTAGGTGGCGATTTTCGCCGGCAGTCGGCTACTTTTGACAACCATGAATGCTGGCGAATTTTTGGGAGTTAAATTCTGGGGGACTAAATAAAAGTTCAGGAAAAGAAAGAGAAAGTTGTTGTCTTGTGTTCCCATCCTCGACAAATGAGAAATTAGTCATTTTCACCTTGTCGTTATCCAACAACGGCTGAGAAATGTGCAAGAAAAAAGTCACGCATGTGTGCAATTCAATTCAATTCAATTCTTTATTTCACACTATATAAGATATTTACATAAGTGTACGTAGGTAGAAAAATAAAGTAGCTGACAAATAATAATTAACTAAAAGACATTAATTTCATTTGTGTACACTGTCCAAAGTAGCAAGAGCTTTCTTGTTGGACACTGTCATGTTGAAATAATTGGCAGCAGTTAAGAGAGGAATGAAATCTCAGATAATATCAAAACGTTTTTGTTTTGCTAATCTAAACCTATGATGTTCTAGTTGCCATTCTTGCTTAAGCTCAAGCTCCCAATTACTTGTAACTGAGAATTTTTGGCAGTTTGTAGTTGTCCTTGTTTCAAAACCAATGTGTTCCCAGATACAGGGGACCCATTTTGCTTGGGATATGTGCTTCCAGGGTAAAAAAAACCATATCACTTGAGATATCTGTTCCTGTATAGGGAAACACGTACCACTAAAAATATGTGTTCCCTGGTAGGAAAACACAAATCACTATGTGACGTCTGCTACCGGGTGGGAGACACATATCACTATCGGTATTTGTTTTCCAGGTAGAAATACAAATAACACAAGGGATGTGTGATATGTTTCCCAGGTACAAGAACACATAATTATTACTAAGGATATGTGTTTTCAGGAAGGGGAACACATATCACTAGGGATATGTGTTTCCTGGGTGGGGGAACACATATCACTAGGGATATGTGTTTCCTGGGTGGGGAAACACATATCACTAGGGATATGTGTTTCCTGGGTGGGGGAACACATTTCACTAGGGATATGTGTTTCTGGGTGGGGGAACACATATCACTAGGGATATGTGTTTCCTGGGTAGGGGAACATGTATTACTAGGGATATGTGTTTCCTGGGTAGGGGAACACCTATCACTAGGGATATGTGTTTCCTGGGTAGGGGAACATGTATTACTAGGGATATGTGTTTCTGGGTAGGAGAACACATATCACTAGGGATATGTGTTTCCTTGGTGGGGAACACATATCACTAGGGATATGTGTTTCCTGGGTAGGGGAACACATATCACTAGGGACATGTGTTTCCCAGGTAGGGAAACACATATCACTAGGGATATGTGTTTCCTGGGTAGGGGAACATGTATTACTAGAGATATGTGTTTCCTGGGTAGGGGAACACCTATCACTAGGGATATGTGTTTCTGGGTAGGGGAACACATATCACTAGGGATATGTGTTTCCTCGGTGGGGAACACATATCACTAGCGATATGTGTTTACCATGTAGGGAAACACATATCACTAGGGATATGTGTTTCCTGGGTTGGGAACACATTTCACTAGGGATATGTGTTTCCCAGTTAGGGGAACACATATCACTAGGGATATGTGTTTGCTAGGTGGGGGAACACAATTCACTAGGGATATGTGTTTCCTGGGTACGGGAACACATTTTACTAGGGATATGAGTTTCCCTGGTAGGGGAACACATATCCCTAGTGATATGTGTTTCCTAGGTGGGAGAACACATATCACTACGGATATGTGTTTCCCATGTAGGGGAACACATATCACCAGGGATATGTGTTTCCTGGGTAGGGTAACACATATTACTAGGGATTTGTGTTTTCCAGGTAGGGAACTCATGTTACTAGGGATATGTGTTTCCTGGATGGGGGAACACATTTTACTGGGGATATGTGTTTCCTGGGTAGGAGAACACACATTACTAGGGTTATGTGTTTCTAAGGTAAGGGAACACATATCACTAGGAATTTGTGTTTCCTGGGTATTGAAACAGATTTCACTAGGGATATTTGTCTCCTAGGTATGGGGACACGTATCACTAAGGATATATATGTGCAGGGTATTTAAAAGGATATCACTTGGGATATGTTTTTTCCGGTAGGGGATCACATATCAGTAGGGATATGTGTTTTCCAGTCAGGGAAACAGATATTAATGAAAAGCAGCGTATGAATAGGCACTGAAACGTCCACAGCAGAGGGAATGCGATCACAGAACAATTTATTTCTTTAGTGTATACACTGTATGTAATTGTTTTATGGGACTGCTCAACAAAAGTCAAGTTTTGTATTTTACGTATTTCACAGTCTAGAGCAATTGGAAAGACCAGAGAGCTCTTCAATCCCAGATGGCTACACACTCTCTGTTGCCTTTGCCTGTCTTTTGGAGATTGTGAAAAGTCTTGATGCACTCGTTCAAGAGAACAGTGCGTCATCTTCCCAAGTGGAGGTCGTAGGATGGATTGAACCTGACGTTTTTAGGACATCAAATGAGACAGGAGTTGGGACAGAGACAATAAGAGCTGCCGCTAAGGAAGGCAGTGAAAGTGAAGGTGGTGGGTAGTGTTTTTATTGAATAGTTAGCAACAAAATTATATTGACACGTTTCACTCCTAGACAGGCAGGTGATTTTGTTACAAGTAGTTATGGTGAGACCTGGGATTTATTTTGTGAAAAATCATGAGTCCCAGTTCAGAAAAATGCTTGCTTGGGACTCTATGTATCCAGACTGAATGCGGAGACAGACACCAAAACTGTTTATTTGACAGTTTACTGAAATTATAATATAGTCTCCCTATATATTTAAAGCACAAAAAAGACTAAAATAAACGTGCATCTTTAAACAACAGCCAGTGAACTCATACAAACAGGATATTCATTCAAGCATTTTGAAATTCATCAATCGTCAGGATTACATCCCTCGCGACCCATGCCATGAATTATTTTGTGTCTTTGAAGATTTTTATGTGTCGGAGACGCAGGACGCAGAGGTAACTAATTCACTGCGGCTTTGAAAGAAAAATGATTGGTCTAGCCTTTGTAGATAACCAGGCCTTCAATTATTCCAAAGTGCACTGAACGCTAGTCTCTACATGCAGTGTAATCAAGCTACCTGTAGAAAAACAACAAACAAGGTAGCCTTGCATGAGGGGTGGGAGAGGGTTTATAACCCATTTAACAGTAGTGTTTAATAGTTTTGTCACTAATTCCAGCCATTTGCTTATAAGAGAACAGTAAGTAAAATTCTATCTATGCTAAGAAAAACTTCATTAGGACAGTGTTTTATTCTTAAAAAGCTATTGTCCTTTGAGAGCCATTGAGTCATCAAATTCTTGAAATACATGAACCAATTAGATGCTATTGACATTCTGTTCTTTGCAAATTAGATAGTAACTAAATGTTTTGTTTTTTAAAGGCCCTAACACTCCAGACCTCTTTCAAGAGATGGTGCTGGCATCTTGGTGTGGCATTTTGGCATCACTCTCCTTGCTTCTGGAAGCAAGGTATGTATATAATCCATAAAAAAAAAAGTTAACGGCTTGTTTATAGTGGTATTATAAGTACTTAGCTTATCCAGCTAGTTTACTGTAGGCACTCCACTCGAATACTTAGGAACAAAAAAAATCCAAATACAACATACACATATATATATATAACAGGATTAAAAACCCCAACTGGCAGGAGGCAGCCAGTTGGCTTTTTACAAGAGTGTCCAACGATTTGAACTCGGGATGACCGAGCTCAAATCGTTTAAGTTGCCAGAGCGGGACTCGAACGCGGGACAGCCGGATTGCAAGTCGGATATGCTTACCACTCGGTCAAGCTGCCTCCTTTTTGCCTCCATTTCATTCCAATTATGATGTGAAATCCCCTGATAGTACTAGTAGGGGTGTGTTTGTTGAGGAAATCAAGTTAAAAAAATCCAGATATCTAAAAAGTACAAATTCAAAGAGAGATTTTGCTGATCAGAATCCCTCTGCAACATTTTTATTAAATACAAACCCCCATAAGTTGACACCCCCATAAGTTGTTTACAGGAGGTCGCCACTTACGGTCTTTTTTGTGAAGAAGTCTGGACACATCTACTTTTTGGAGAGAATGTATTACATGCAATTATTTATTGTTGGCTTAATCTATGTAAATCCATGTTGTTTCTAAAAGTTCTTCTCATGCTGTTGAAAGGTGAGATTTAAACCCAGAAGTAGGTTGGTATGATCATTTGGGTGAACGTGGTCCGAATAGGACTGTTGTTGTTGAGAGTGACTGACGTTAGAACAACCTGTGCAGTAGTCATCTTCAGAGTCAAAGTGAGTTTTATCACGTCAGTTGATGGCGGGTATTAAACTCTGGGCCGAGTCGTTCAAAGCTGGGCTAAGATAACCCAGGGTTAGTGCGAGATTTGAAAGCTTATAAAGCATTTCAGATTTAGTTCTTTTTGTCTACAAGTTGATGATTGGAAGCTCTAAAAATAAACAGAGAAAATTATCTGAGAAAATGCTTTTGAACACAAGAAAAAGAAACCCGGGTTAAATTTAACCCCAGGTTAAGCGCTAATCGGCCTTCGAACAAATGGGCCTTGGTTATTGACCTGGTTGGTCAATTAACCCATTCGCTCCTGGAGATTTTGCCGAAAAACGCGTTTTGAAGCTAGTCGAGTGGTTTTGTGGTCACTGTCGGGCTATAAAGAGCGAAAACTTACCACAAACTGGTTTACAGGTCGAACACTTCGCGGCCTTCTGATCCAGATGCAAAATATCAGCTTGCGAAGTTCGGGCATGAGCAGAAAGCAAAATTTCTTGCCTCATTTTTTTTTTCTCTTGCTGGGCATTTAGTAGGCTTCATTTTGGTGGGAAGAGTTTTTAGGAAAGCTTTTAGGATCTTAGGATTAGGTGAAAGGAAAGGTAGGTGGGTAATGGAACAAGATTTTCATGGAGATTTTCAGGTCAATGTCAGGTGGTTTTTTGCTTGTTTCTCCAGTGTCCTTGACTAAATTGTGCTCATTCTGGTATGGTTTGAAAGATCTCTTCACTCTGCACAAGTTAGTGAAGAAATTTGTCCTTGACCGTTAAAACTGATGATGTCACAATGGGTAGAAAGGACCTGGATCCGCACGGGCGGTTACGGGCGGTTCAGGGGCGAATGGGTTAAGTCGTGATGTTATTGGTCGTCTGTCAGTTAAGTCGTGATGTTATTGGTTATGAGGACTCGTAATGTCATTGGCGCAAGTTGGTGTTCTCATACTCTGAGTAGCATACCAAATACAGTGAACACTAAGACCAGACCATTGTCTTAGGTGGTTGCTTAAAAGAGGTTAAAAAAATGGAAATCTAAAACCTTTGTGCTAAAGAGTGGTCATGGTCTCTCAATAGAGGTGGTCTTTAATGAGGTGGTTACTTACAGAAGGTCACTGCTTATGAGAGGTGATTGAACATGGAAGTTAGGGCGCTTTACAGCTGGCCGGACCATTACCTGACCAGTCAGTTTGCATATGAAATCGGCTTTTTTCAGAGGGTTTTTGCTGAAAAACCGTCTCCTTTGTGCATACTGTTTAGGATTTGGCTGATCTAACTGGATAGTTTTGATTGAAAGTGAAATTCTCATTACGACAGGAATGGTCTGGCCGGTCAGTTCTGACAAATAGAAAGTGCCCTTAAACTAGCTGTATTTGGAATGAAGCTGTTTCTTACCATTTATAGTACTTATAGTGACTTTTTTCTCGCAGTAATGATGAAAGTGCCACAGAAGCTATCCTCAAGTCCTACCAGCTTTATGCCAATGTTTGCGGCATTCTTAATATGACAACTCCAAGAGATGCGTTCATCACATCCCTCTGCAAGGCAGCATTACCCCCACACTACACTCTGACAGTAGTGAATCCCCACTCCGGCACTGCTCAGGTATCTTATGTTAAGTTTCCGAGTGGGACCCAGGTGCCCCCTGAATCACAGAGTGGAGACCACAGAAGCTTGGGAAAGTCTTTGTCTGGGGAGTCTGGCTCTGGTACGGTGCTCACAGGGACCCCACTTGGATCCAGTCATGGTCCTGTTTCTGTGAGTAGATCTTCCTATAGAAGAAGTCCTCTTTAGCATTTGTTTGAATGGTCACACTTTAGTATTTGATCCATAGATTCAAAAGTTAGAACCACCTTGTACAGCATAGTAAACAGCACCACAGGAAAGTACTCCTTCGTAGCTTTCATTTGAATGGTCACACTTTAGGATTTCATCCACAGACTCAAAAGTTAGAATCCCCTTGTACAGCATAATAAACAGTACCACAGGGAAGTACTGCTCAGTAACTTTTATTTGAATGATCACACTTAAGTATTTCATCCACAGACTCAAATAATTATTAGAACCTTCATGTACATAATACATGTTAATAAACAGTATCACAGGAAAGTACTGCTCAGCAGCTTTCATTGATTGGACACTTTTTAGGATTTCATCCATAGATTCGAAAGTGAGAACTACCTTGTACAGTACAATAAACAGTACCTCAGGAAAGTACTGCTTAGTAACTTTCATTTGAATGGTCACACTTTAGGATTTCATCCACAGACTCAAAAGTTAGAACCACCTTGTACAGCATAATAAACAGTACCACAGGAAAGTACTGCCCAGTAGCTTTCATTTGATTGGACACTTTTTAGGATTCCATAGATTCGAAAGTTAGAACCACCTTGTACAGCATAATAAACAGTACCTCAGGAAACTACTGCTTAGTAACTTTCATTTGAATGGTCACACTTTAGGATTTCATCCACAGACTCAAAAGTTAGAACCACCTTGTACAGCATAATAAACAGTACCACAGGAAAGTACTGCCCAGTAGCTTTTATATGAATGGTCAAACTTAAGGATTTCATCCACAGACTCAGAAGTTAGAACCACCTTGTACAGCATAATAAACAGTACCGCAGGAAAGCACTGCTTAGTAGCTTTCATTTGAATGGTCACACTTAAGGATTTCATCCACAGACTCAAAAAGTTAGAACCACCTTGTACAGCATAATAAACAGTACCACAGGAAAGCACTGCCTAGTAGCTTTCATTTGAATGGTCACACTCTGGGATTTCATCCACAGACTCAAACAATTATAAGAACCACCATGTACATCATAATAAACAGTATCACAGGAAAGTACTGCTCAGTAACTTTTTTTTTATTATTTTGAATGGTCACTCTTTAGAATTTCTTCCACAGACTAGAAAGTTTAGAAATACACTTTTCTTCAATTTAAGTACAGTGCCCTTTGTTGGAAGGTTAACCAAAAGTGTCCAAAATTAAACTTCTCCTTTTAGTAACATTGTCCAGTCAAACAAAAAGGTTGTAAGAAAAAAGGAAACAATCAACAAGTGAAAAGGTCTTTTCAAGACTGTTAAAAAGTTGTTCTCATCAGTACTATAGAAATTCTAGCGCGAATATTGCGGAGAATATACATGCTGCTCTTCCGGTTTAAAGGGTCACTGATGGAGTACAGGCGTTAAGATGTGTGTTCTTCTTCTAGCTAACAGCAAAGAATATCCAGTGTATGCGGTCATTACTGAGCCTGGCTCATTGTCATGGAGCAATTCTAGGTACTGCGTGGCACATGGTTCTCACCACGTTGCAGGTTAGTGCATGATCAAAAGTGCATGATCAAAAGTGGACAAGGCTGGGGGACTAAAGTTCCCCCTCCTCCTTTTTTGTCCCTATTGGTTTCATATTGGTTCCTTGCAATCAAAGGTAAAATAGTGTAAAGAGGCAAGGGAGGTTGGTAATTCCTCCTAAGTTGCAAAACTTTTGCTCTCTCCCTGTATTATCAAGTTTAAAACACGGGGCTTAGATGAAATTAAAATAAAAGGTAAAGGCACACACGAGCTAAAGGCCCAAACGGCCGAAGCTTATCTCGATTTTCTTAACATGAAGCATGCCTAAAAGTATTGCTACTCCCCCTGGACGGGGAGTCCATCGTTGGGGTTACTCCCCAGCAGTATGTCGCCAGTACCCATTTATAGATCTGAGTTAAGAGAGGCAAAATGGAGTAAAGTTTCAACGCGGCCCCTTGAATGAAATCACAGACCTTATTTTTCTTTTAAGTATTTTCTTCGCGAAAATGGTAGTTTACAGTTTTGGAACTTTCAATCAATAAGAAAATTCCATGATGTTGAATGTGCTGATCATATAAAATGCACAAATATTGTTCGAGCAGAGAATACTCATCACTGTCCTTTCATTGAGCTCTGAAATTGATTAAAATTGAGTTAGAAAAATCTTTACTGGTCTTTGAAAGTGAATCTTTTTGAAATATTTATCTCCTTTTTTACGTTTTATTTATTATCAATTTTTACAGCATCTGACGTGGATTCTAGGACTCAAGCCATCTGCAGGAGGCACGCTCAAAGCTATGCCTGCCAGTGAAGCACCTAATGTGGTAAGAATTAAATCATATATAAATAATAATTGTTTTGTTAAAATTGAAAGCTTTAAGGTGGTTCCGTGTGGAGAGTGCACCCCTTAACGTGCGCGTCAGTAGCGCGCGAGATTTAAAAAGGCAAAACAAACATGACGGCGCGCGGTTTTTTTTTCCGCGCTCGGTTCGTTTTGTCTGCTCTTTTTCCTCTGAGACTATGTGTAGAAGAACTCTCTCAATTTTAGTTAAAATCTCATGTTTTCTGTTGCCATGGTATCGGCTCATGAGGAAGTAACAACTATTGTGGGTCAAGAAGTGGTATTCGGACCTCTTACCCTCAACGAAATCGCCACCAAGAGATATATATTTTAAAACTTATCGAAATTTCTCCCCGATGTTAAGAACCCTAATTCTTTCCCCCAGCACTCGCGACTCCTTTTGCGTGACAGTCGCAGATGTTTTAGAAGTTGATAAAAAAGTTTTAATTTGTTCTTCAGGTTATAACTCAGGCAATGATGGCCGAACTTCCTGTACTGGCTGCGATCCTATCAAGACTCTTTGAGACATCCAAGTATGTGTAACCTTGGTTTCAGCCACAGTCTCAAAAGATAGAACAACCTTGTACAGAATAATATACAGCTTACCATTAAAGTACTGCTCAGTAGCTTTCATTTGAATGGTCACACTTTAGGATTTCATCCTCAGAATCAAAAGTTATAACCACCTTGTACAGAATAATAAACAGTACTAAAAGAAAGTCATTGAATGGTCGTTAACTCTCTAGGATCTCACCCACAGACGCAAAAGTTAGAATCACCCCTACGATTTCAAGTTGTAGGGTAAATACAACAAGTAGGCGGGGAATCATTGAACAGCTAGGCGTTTCTTTTTGTTTTATTTTCCTTTAAAAGTAGCCGGGGGCCATGATCAGAATAGCCGAGGGAAATCCCCAGTCCCCACCTCTTAATGACAATAATGTGAATGGTCACATCTTCAGGTTTCTTCCACAGACTCAAAAATAAGAACCACCTTTTACAACAAGATAAACAGTAGCACTGGAAAGTACTGCTCCGTAGCTTTCATTTGAATGGTCACACTTCGGGATTTCATCCACAGATTCAAAAGTTAGAACCACAACGTACAGCATAATAAACAGTACCACAAGAAAGTAATGCTCAGTAGCTTTCATTTAAATGGTCACATTCTAAGATTTCATCTACGGACTCAAACATAAGAACCACCCTGTGCAACGTAATAAATAATACGACAGGAAAACACTGCGTAGAAGCTTTCATTTGAACCAATGATCACCTCATGTTTTGATATTCTTGTTTAGGTATCTTGATGATGTCGCTCTTCATCATCTTGTTGACGCCCTTTGCCGATTGTCCACGACGTCAATGGAACAAGCGCAAAGCAATAAGGTAATAAACTTGCCCAGTCAACTTCAACTTTATTTCATTTTCTCCACTTTAGAAACGGAAGGGAACTACAGCCGAAATGCGTTCCGTAACTGTTTCTGTGATCGTTACTGGGGAACGCACCGGTCAGCTATTGGCCAATTTTTTCCCTGTTCCAGAAGTCTTTGCAAAAGTTAACGTGGCTCAGTGAGCCATTTTCACGATGACGACATTTGACTACAACTGCCAGGATTCATTTCGTTTTTGCTTTGTTATTGAAGTTTGTCAATTCCGCTGAGAGTTAAACAACAATAGACCTAATTTGCACAAGAAAACAACAAACTGAAGGATTCTGGTAGTTGTAGTAAAATGACGTCATCGGGCAATTGTTCTGTTCCCCTCTCCTTTCTAAAGTGGCGAATGTCGCCGAGAGCTGAACTTACGAGCACATAGTTGGTTATAAATAACATACGAAATCTACCAAGACTTAGTCCATCATTATTCCACATCCCGAGGTAGTCGTTGATTAATTGTTGCTGCTTTAGTTTCAGGAGCCTTCACTCTTTGCTGTGGCAAAACTTTTAGAAACCGGTTTAAACAATCTACACCGCGCACGCGTTCTGTGGAAACCGCTGACTGCACATCTTTTAGAGGTAGGGCTCATCTTTTGAACTTTGCAAATAATTCAGTTTACTCTGAGAGAAGAGGTGCAGTATCAGAAGATCCATTTTTTTCACTCTTTAACTTTCGACACCACGGCGCCTTTATCCAGTGATTGCTCACGTGATCTTCACGTGACCATTAGAGGTAATCGTATGAAAAGTTTCGTATAGTCTAGAATTGTTCCATGGGTTCCCTCGTTGGACAGCTTTGGGTGGAGACTGCTTTCTCGATTAGAACACAATAATGAAAATAAGCTTGATTCCCACGAGAGCCGTGCTTATTACCAAATTGAAACTTGAAAAAAACTTTGAAGTATTGAGAAAATACTTAAGGATTGGAGGCTATCCCACAGCACCGCTTACCTATAGCCAAAGCTAACTTTGACATAGTTTGTGCGGTACTGAGAATTGGCCAGTTTGCTTCCAGCGGCTTTTAGCGAGTAAAAGGTGACACTACCATGGTTAGTAAAAGTATTGCTCTAGTAGTCTGGAACGAGTCTACCACTTTTATTGTTTTGTATACCATGACTGGATTGAGCGTCCTACGTACTTCAAATGAGCGTTTCCACTTAGCACCCTCCATCTTGAGCCCTCAAATAAAAGTAGTGTACTGAGCACACAATATAAGTAAATGTCCTGTTTTTATTTTTAGGTGTGTCAGCACCCTCACAATAAGATGCGCGAGTGGGGAGCCGAGGCAGTGACGTCACTTGTTCGATCAGCTCTGACGCATGATCATGATCCTCCTCTAAAACAAGACTTGGTAAGTCACGTGGTGTACGATGCTGCTGATTGACAGGGTTGTCTGACAAATAAAATCAAAGCGGCACAGACTTAAAATAGTAGACCTTATTCACGATAGCCGCCATCTTTGCACGCGCTGAAGGGCTGATGGAATAAAGCAATGTAACGTGGTTTCTCCTTTGGCAAACAGATCTTATGATAAAATCTGTCAACTCAAGAAATCGCGGTCAAGTTTATTTATTCTAGACAACAGAACATGAAGAACTTTTAAACTCAAAGACGATAATAGCAAAATGATGTGGGTGGAAGTGATCATTGTTATATTTTGGATGTAATAACGACTGTACATGTCCTCACAGCAACCAATAATTACTTAAAATCCTGGCCAAACTTTATCTGTAGGTTTGCATGACTAAAATCGCTGTCCTATTTTAGAGAATAAACAAATTCAACCGTGTTTACCATGTTTACTCCTATTGGCAAGTTTTATAATCTGTTTGGCCCTGAGAAATCACGTGACTTTGCTTTTTTTCCCATCAACTCTAAAGCGCGTGCAAACATGGCGGGTATCGCGAGTTAGGTCTTTTGTTGCTGGCACATATAGAGCGCTTCACTCACGTGGCCTTCATCTACGCAAATTTCTTGAACAAAAGAAAGCGTTTACATACGAAGAGGGTTCAACTCCCACAGGACTGGTTTGGAACACCAACATGGCCGCCGTTTTATTGTTTTGGATGGCCGATATGGCCGACGTGACATGCCAAAACGTTCTATACCTAAATCTCGTAGCTGTTTATCAGTACGATGCCTAAAGTGAGTGCAATTCAACAACTAGTTTTGGCACAATGGAAAACAGCCGGCATTATGTCGTGTTTAATGTCTGGAGTGAGGAGTTTTGTTGGCGTGATAACGCATGGTCCCCCTAGCTTTACGTCGTTCAGAAAAGAAACAGTGATAACAATTTGTGAAGCCCTGTAAGACAGTACGACATTGCTAAATCACAGAAATCATAAATCAAAAACTGGTCACCGAGTAAGTTACGAAGGGAATTTGTCCAGATACACCGTTTATCACCAGGTAACAATCATTCAGGTTTTTGAACGCGTGTTTTTTGTGTCTTCCGTAGCAACTTCAGTCCATGTTGCTGAGCCCCCTGCAAGAAATGTCTAATGTCAGCTTTTCTGACATTCGCTACAAGCAGTTAGAATGTGTGCTGCAGGTAAGCTTTTCCTTTTTTCCAGGTTGTTGCATTTTACGAAACGTTGTTGTAGAAAGTAGAGCGTACTTCTACGTTTTGCAACAAACTCTGTACATGTTGCGCGTTTTATCGGCCTAAGGCAAACTTATTTTGCAACAAGTGACGTAACTCCCGTGATGTATCACGTGACTTCCGCGTAATTTTATCCAATCAGAAGTCAGCATTCACGCAACTTGCAAATAAGGTTTGAACGTGGGTGGTAAAACGCGCGAGATCACTTTTCAATTCTTTTTGCAGCAATGTTGCAAAACAAGCTGTGCAATTTTGTTGCTTGTTTTGCGTACCCTATCTTAAAAACTGGGTGCTTCAAATATTCAGATTCTAGTACCAAGCCGGGAGAATTCTGCAGCATAGGTAATAGAAAAAGAACGTTTTTTTTAATGAGTTATGTTCCATTGAGTTTAGATTCTTCACTCCACCGGTCAAAACCTTGGTCAAGGATGGCTGTGCGTGCTTGGTGTAATAGGCGCTGCTACCAACCAACAAGGGTAAGATATTTGGAACTAGTGCATTTCACGTTTTATATACCACTTATTAACCGAGAGTAAGGTCATTACGGGGAAATCTCAGACCGAGGCCTTAATGTATTGAAACTTTCGGAATTTTTCGGCGACCTTTCCGGCAATTTACGATGATTGTGAAGCGTCAATTTTTGGCGTCTGTTAGAACAGTCAAGGTTATTTTAGCTTTTGGTCAGTGTTAGTTGACGAGAGCCGCAACGCAATAAGTGAGCCATGCCATATTTGTCTTTAAACATTCCTGTCATCAACCTATTTTATATAATTTTGGCGGCTTTATTAATGTTATTGTTTGTAACATTTGTTTCAGTGAGGGCCTTATTCGAGTGGCTTTTCAAAGCCTGCAGCTTGTAGTGACGGATTTCCTTCCCTTGATGCCTTGCACGTGTATCAAGGTCGTTGTGGATGTGGCGGGAAAATTCGGCCTGCAACCGCAGGAGCTTAACATAAGCCTAACTGCTATTGGTCTGCTGGTGAGTCACGTGTTTTTTAAGCCAAGCTTGATATTTGCTTGGGAAGTGACACATTTTTCGCTTCCAAAAGGTTCATAACCTCTGATATAAACGAAGTGCTTATTTTCCTTTAGCTAAAAAAACCCAAGGCGCAATTAATATGACATTTTCATGGTTTCTGTGTTGTTCAAAATTATCTCGCAGTGGAACATCTCCGACTTTTTGTCGCAACACCGGGAAAAGATTCGCACAGCGCTGGAAGAAGCTGAAACTCCTGCCAATGAAGGCACTAATGATAGCAGTAGTGTTGGCACCAAATACGAAAAACCTGTACCTCCCTCTGACCGACAGTGGATGTGTCTGTATTCCAAGCTCGGTGAGTTGTGCGTTGATCCGAGGCCCGCAGTCAGAAAAAGCGCGGGACAGACGCTGTTCTCCACCATCAATGCTCATGGTTCTCTTCTGGAGAATGTCACGTGGTATACAGTGCTCTGGCAGGTAAATGCACCATTCAGCGTCCTACACATGACCTTTTTGCTTCGTCACGCAACGATCTTCCCCCAACAAATGCACGACAAGTTAAAAGAATGTCGTAGGACTGCAGTAGACTAAATTTGCCTCCGTACAAATTATTTCTCGTTTGGCCTTTATTTCTCAAAACACTCGAAACGCTGGAAGACTGTTAAGGTCCGAGAGTGAGAGAGAGTTTGTGCCTAGTTTCCTTCAAATAACGGTGTAGTTTTATCAGTACGCATGACCGGCCTTATCGAGTCCGTGAACCTGTTGATTTTATCTCAAAGTCACAAGAATCGGTACTTTAAGATTCCGTCGGAAGAAGAAACGTAGTTGTAATTCAGCTCAAAACAATGATTTGGTTCAGTTAAAAGCCTTTCTCGATATTCATCACTGCTCTTTCAGGCACTGGGACAGTGGAGCAGACTTCGACGCAGTTGAAGTTAAACCTAGCTCATTCCAGGGTCTTTCTTTTCCCAGTCTATGTCACTGGCGGAGAGAAAGGTCTTTCTTGAACAGCTGATTGATGAAAGAGAAGGAGCGTAATTGCAAGTCTTCATTGCGTCCTCTCTTGTTGCCCTCTCGCCTTGTCAATAGAGACCATAAGATTCTAAGACGAGGACTACTTCGAGGACGAGATTTTCTCAATAGTTGGTGTGCGGGCGCGTGAACCACTGCATTTTGGCGGGAAATCTTGGTAGCCGTCTTCATTTTTTTATGGGTTTCAGCAAAATGTCGCGGTGGCGGAAGCAATTTATCAACTGCTAGAAGTATTATTATTTTGCGATTGGTTGAGAACTGATCCTTCTTTACTAAAAATATCCGGGGAAATTTTTTTGGTGAAAATGTGTGGTGGAGCTTTCCAGGGTGTATATGTTTTGAGCATGCGGACAAAAAGGTTTAAGTCAAATCTTGTCCTGGTCGTCATTCCCGTTCCCTTATTCTAAAGGTCTCTAAACACTGGATTTGTTTGGGTATTTCTCCACAGGTGCTATTCCCATTGTTGGAACAAGTCAAAACTATGTCCACGTCAGCAGCTGATGTTCCACCACCGAGCGACTCAGTGAACTCGAAGGGTAAAATCCTCATTCATCATTCACGTGACACAGCTGAAAAACAGTGGGCGGAAACACGTGTTTTGACCTTGAGTGGTGTCGCACGCGTCTTCAACAACCGGCGGCAAATTTTGGCGGGACTTGAGGAATTCCCGCGTGCATGGGCTCTTCTGTTGGAATTCATCGAGTTCGCAGCTCTGAGTAAATCCGCTGAAGTTGCACTGGCGGCGCTCAAGAGCTTTCAGGACATTGTGCAAGACTCCAACGAGACTCAAGAGAATTCGGTCGCGAGTTCAAGCCCAGTGGACAAGTCGCGAGACAAAACGGCGGGAAAAGGCGCTGCCAAGTTGAAAGTGAAACCTAAGTTTTGCGAAGCAGCAGACGAAGACCTAAACCTTTGGGCAAATGCTTGGAGGGTGTGGTATAGTATAGGCAGTACAAGTATGTCCGAGTCTCATATCCTGAGGACAAGACGAGATTCCTCTGGAAAAATCATCAAAATAAGAACTTACCCCGCGCAGGCTTTCCTCGCAGCACTGGTACAAATTTTTCCGTCATTATTCATGAGAATATACAGTCGCTTTGGCTTAGCAGACTTGCAGAAACTTGCGAAGATCCTAGAGACATCTGTTACAATCCCAGTTCCCTTTGACCAATCTCCATTCCTGGTTCCATCTTTTCAAGATACTGTCCTAACAGCCCTGCAACACGCGATTTTGAACACGATTGATATTTTGCGTGAACCATTACCCAATTCAACCGGCTCCGTTCTTCATGTTTCAAATCAACCAATGTATCCGACTCTGTTTTCTTTGCTTCTTCAATTTTTTGAGTACGCGACGGAGCCTCCTCGTATTCATGATTTATCGGATGATGATGGTGCGGCCAGAAAGAAGAAGAAAGAGTGGGTTATCCTCAGTCTTACTCCCTTCTCAGAGAAATGTCTGGAGATGACCCTAGCTTTGTATGACGAGTGTTTCTCCAAGCCTGCGGTCATTGAAGAAAACGTCCTGGAAAAAATAATCAAGGTATGATTTTTGATTATCAAGTGAGGAAAAAAGATTTTTCATGTTAATCCAGAGACCTTTTGTCCTGATAAGACAAGAACGTTGATTTATTGAACGGCTTCAAAGAATACCAGTAGTAGATCTGCTCATTCTTTAGCCTGCGTGGCAAGCGCAAAAAGGAGACGTTTTTTCCCTTTTTTCTATCCCTACCCTTTCGACGCCTGCTACACAGGCTACTCATTCTTTCGTCCTTTTCAGAAAAGACAAGAGCGTCGAATTTATTGAACGGCTTGAAAGACTACCAGTAGTACATCTACTCATTCTTCCAATTGTCCTAAGGTTTAGTCTGCGTGGTTAGCAGTTTCGTAAGAGCGTGATGTAGGAGACGAAGCCGTGAAAAACCAGTGTAGAAGCCGTAAAGGAAATAAGGTATCTTTTAATCCTTACCTATGTTTCCCGCCCTCAAACGAAACCACTGGCGACACAGGCTACCTTTGGCTGGGCTATTTTCAAAATCTAAACCCTGTTGTATGTGATTTTAAAGACACGCGTTGAACATTGATTCCTTTGGTATTTTCTCTCGTACATGTAAATTTTAGAATTTATGAAAAGTCTTCTTTATTTATTCGATATCTGCAGTGAGCTAAAGAAATGGGATTAAGGGTAAATCATACCACTTAATTATTCGATGTATTGGTCTGTGCGTCGATTTTGGTGACGGCTTACACCAACTGAGAATAGTGTTGGGGATTGTTTCGTCAATCTCAACAAAGATTCATGAAAGTAAAATAAAGGAAGTTACTCCGGAAAGGATTTCGGAATATCGGATCTAAGTCAACATTAAATTTTGCCAGCTCTTGCTTAATGTTTCGTCAGGAATTCTTGTTGATTTGAAAAGCCACATTACGAGCAGGGAAAACAGTGTTTCGTCCGATATCAAGATACCTCGAGGTCGACCCATTAATCAGTTTCTCCACTTCATATAGATCACTCCCTCGCGTGTTTCATTTTCGGTGTTTTGAGATGAGATGAGACACTCCTTGTTTTTAGCATATATCTTTTCTCGGTGTCTGGATTTCTGATGTCAGACTCCTCTTGTTTGATGCATTACTTCTAGATGTTTGGATATCAGATTATTAATATGTTACTTCTCAGTCTTTGGATATCAGATGAAACACTCTTTCTCGTGTTTAATATATTACTTCTCGGTGTTTGGATGTCAGATAAAACTTTCCTTCTCGTGTTTGATATGTTACTTCTCGGTGTTTGTTATCTTATGAAGCACTCCTTCTTGTGTTTAATATATTACTTCTCGGTGTTTGGATGTCAGATAAAACTTTCCTTCTCGTGTTTGATATGTTACTTCTCGGTGTTTGTTATCTTATGAATCAGATGAAACACTCCTTCTCGTGTTTGATATATTCTTCTGTTTTGAATATATTCTCAAACTCATTAATAATTCTTAAGAAAATGTTTGTTTAATGAGATGAAATCATCCCTCTCGATTGTGATATATTTTCTCCTTCAAAAATCTTTTGTTTGCGAAAATAACACCACCGTAAGAGACCAGAATGGTCAACTCATATTTGTTGAATGTATTTTCAACTCTCTTCATGTTTTCTGGTGATGAAACACTGCATCCTGGTCAATTCATAAACACTTTCGATTTAATTTTTTTTTATATTGCTTTAAAATAACCGCACCGTTAGAGAACGGACTTTTTTTCTTTTTCAGTCCCTGCGCAATTCATATTTTTGTAATGTTTTTTTTTTTTCTGTTTTGGCTGAAGTACAGTTGCCCGTCCCAATCCACGTGGAAGTTAGCTGTAGACTCCTTGATGACTGTCACGCGGAAAGGACTTAACGTGGCTCTTTCTCGCCCAGGTAAGCTGAGATTGTGTGACAAAGGAGGAAAATAAGTTATAAGTAAACACGAAAAGACAAAAAAAAATCAAATTATTACATAACCACCAATGAAATACCAGGTGAGCCTTCGCGAGAAAACCTGTAAAAATAAAATGTTATTTTCACACGTGAAGAGCTCACCGTTGCTATGGTTACACAATAGATCGCGCCTTTCGCAGCAAAGAGTATTTTAATATTCTTTAAAAAGTAAAATGGTTTGGTATTTTATTGGTGTTAATGTAATAAATAGAACATTTCATGGCTACTTGGAGGTACGAAATTTCTCTTCAAGAGTTGAAAGAAATTTTTTCGCGTTTGGGTAATTTTCAACACTCGAAGAGAAATTTCGTATCTCCTGGCGGCCATGTTATATCGTCTATTTATGGAAACGGAGGTATGACTGTGAATCTTCGGACATACCAGATCTTTTTACTACATAATAGACCCCTCTGGTTCCAATTCATTGAGCACACACAGCAAAATGAAATTCAAGCTTTGGTGGACTATTTCATACAAATCGCTGTATTTTGTTACCCCACACCTCCAGTTGGTGCGTTTCTTCATAGGAATGCGGAAACGATCTATTGTCTTTTTCCGTGACAACGAGAAGCTGTTTTTACATTTCATTGCCCTCACCCTGGCAGGCAACACATATGTTATGAAAATAAGTATTATGTTTTAGAAGGGATATTCTTGGTTTAATAAGTAGGCTTCTTGTTTAATTTTCACGTAGTCATGTTTTACTGCATCGTGTTTTTTTGTATTGCGTTTACGAACAGAGCTCACCACATATTTATTCTGATTAAGTTTGTTCTTCTGTAGGGGATTATGAGGCATAAAAGCAGTTTTGTACATACATATTTCAAGAGTTAATCTTTCAGTCAAAAAGGAAATATTGAAAGGCAATTTAGTACAAATAGTTTCTTGTTCGGTGATAACACGATGATAAAATCATCGAATTAAAACCCCAATCATGAAAAGACACAAACACATCCAATTAAAATCATTACCATTTGTTTTCGTATTTCAGATTCTTTCAGATCAATGTGGTACGAATTAGCTTCAGCTTTGGAAGACTTTCTCTTCTCAGATATGTAAGTCTTTCATTATGTTACACTTACTCCCAGGACGCCGTATATAAACTCAAAGTAAATTCTTTTGTTAAAGTGGCTGTGTAACGTGGATATGCTGTTTTAAGTCATTTCTGTGCTACAGTCATTACATTTTATCAGCGAGCACTAACTATAACAATTTTTGGTTAAATTTTGCAGGCATACCATTTAAAATTGAAAACGCTGGCCTAAGTTGTTCAAGTTTCATTTCATGTCCTTGCCACCCGCTGCAAAGGACGAAATAAATACAAAAATATAGTCTCGAAGGAAAAAACTGCACCATTATATGTGGAATTCAATCGCTGCAAAAAAGTTTTAGGTTTTTTATAAGCAAGCAAACACAGTCGACTCCCGCTAACTCGAATACAATACTTTGTTTGGTACTTTTAACGGTTTAACTCTAACAAAGTTTTATACTCGTTGTATTCAAAAGGAGTCCGCCGGAGAATCAGACGCTCGAACAACATCAAGCAGATGAAGCGTTAGACATAAAGGTGAGAAAGAGAATTTAAGTTACCTAACCTGTCCTTCCAGGTAATGGCACTGATTGTTGTATTTGATTGACAGCTTTTGCGCATGATCCGTGAGGAAATCCTACCTCACTCTGGTGCTCTACCTAAGGACTTCATGGCTCGTGTCATGGCGCTCCTGAATCGAGGCTCTATTCATTCGGCTGCTGATGCAACATTCAGTGGTATGTGTCATGTGATTTATTTTTAATTTATTCTTGAAGGGGCTACGTTACGCTATTTGCTATCCTTTTTAACCCTTTAAACCCTAGATCAAAATTTGAATTCTCATTTGTTGCCCCTATTCATTTCCTACGGACGTAGTGTGGAGAAGTTGATTAAATATCAAGCAGATTTCTCTTGTGTGATCATGTCCGTAATTCTCATGACCACTCGGTTTTACAAAGCATTGATATTACAAGGAGAAATTTGACGCTGATCACTTGTAGGGCTAAAAGAGTTAATAAACCCTAAGATCAAAATGTGAATTCTCATTTGTTGCCCCTATTCATTTCCCACAGAAGTAGTGGGGAGAAGTTGAAATTCATCTTGTGTGATCATGTCCGTAATTCCCATGACCACTCTGTTTTACAAAACATTGATATTATAAGGAGAAATTTGATGCTGATCACTCTTGGGGCGTAAAGGGTTAATTCTCACAACCTATGCTCTTGAAGATCTGCTGATGTTGTCAGGAGGAAATTGATGTTGGTCACTCTTGGGACCTGAAGGGGTAAAAGCTAAAACGTGTCTTCGTATCGGTTAAATTCCGGAAACAATGGTCCTGTTTTGCTATCTACGACTTTATTTAGGCATTATAACTGCTTGGGCATTAACACCATACTGCTTCTATTTATTTGCAATGCGTGTTTGCCTGCGCCCTACCAGGAAATCAGCTTTTGTTGTGTGTGGTTAGCGTAGTGAAATAAATGTATTGATTTGATTCTTGTCGTCTGTTGCTACAGACGGCAAGGATGGACATGGATTGAACTTTTTCAAGATTTAATGCAATGTTTGGGGGTGTTTACTGCTCTCTGAGGAATTTTGGCACTCTACTGGAGCATTATGTGGATCGATAGCACCTACCCCTCCCCTAAGCCAACATTAGCACTTGCGTCTTACTTAGGGCAAAATGTTGGCTTCGGGGAGGGGTAGGTGGGCAGTTTCCCAGAAACGTATAATGATCCCGAGGCGGGTGTCGGAGACGAGACAAATAGAAGTCTACTGGAGTATTCCGACGTATTCAGCGTTTAATTTTCCAATAGATTTCGGCCTTACAACTTGTTTTCAGATTGCATGATCTTCTCTCTTAGACTGACTACAATACACATGAAACCTAACCTATATTATTATAAAGTGATTGACAGATAGTCAACTCAAGGCTTCTGCACAGACGTTATGCTCGTAGCGCAATCCTTCTTTGAAGAGGAGGGGGGGGTGGGGGGTGAGGGGAGATTGCATAACATAAATGAGAACTTAGAAGAAGCTTTAGTTGACTATCCAAAATCCTGAAATTGCTGATTTTCCATGATTTTACTAAAGCCGAATATTTCACCATCTTCAAACAGGAACTGATGCAAACGGATTTCCTCTCCGCGAAGAATTCGCCAAGTCCTGCTTCGAAACTCTTCTTCAGTTCTCATTTGTGAATGGTACACCGGAAGTGGATCGTCAAGCAGACCAGTCAGACGGCAAAGTGGCTGAGTTAGCTCTTGACGTTCTCCTCAGTCGATGCAGTGATGTGTTAGTGAAGTACGTTGAAGATGAAAAACTTAGTGGAAAGTGTCCTCTTCCAAGGTAACTTTGTTCATTTCTTTCAGGGGTTTGGTTGTTGTTGGGCCATTGATATATCTTCCATTCTTTTCGCCTTACGAATACAACACCATAAACTCCAAACAGACTCAAAATTTGTTTTTGTAACACACTAGAAAACGAAAACCACCTTGTACTGCACAATAAACAGTACCACAATAAAGTACTGCTCAGTAGCTTTCACGTGAATGGTCACACGCTCGGCAGCTTTCATTTTAATCTTCACACTCAAAGAGATCATCCACGCCTAAAACTAAGAAAGATATCTATAACTGAGTAGGAAATGAAGGATTCATTTAAATTATCTTGTGATTTAGTTCGTTGTCCAGACACATCCTTCTTAAAACTGATTCCGAATGACCGTGAGACCAAGATGGCTGTAGTTGTTGGTGGGGGGGGGGGGGGCACTTTGCCACTGTGAAGGGTGGGGCTTACTAAGCAGATTATGTTTCTCTAAAATGAGTTATCACTTATGGAAAATTGATCAGCGATATAAAAAACTGTGTTGCATAGAGTATGGATATTTGGGTCCCACCGGTACACCCCCTCTAAAAACTTCACAGAATACCTCCCCCGGAAAGTACACTAGTTGTTTAGACAGTTGGTAAGTCTTTCAATTCTTCATTGCTAATATTATTTATTTTTTTAACATTCTTAGAACTCGTATGGCAGAGATGTCGTTTGTAATGAAGGCCATCAGCACGTTGGTGTCTTCAATGAAAAGAGCTGTAAAGGAAAATCCAACTGTCGGTATGTTATTGGCCAGCTATCTCTTTTTTGCATACAGCGTTTTCACTCACGTGGTCAGATCTATGCAAATTTATTGGAACAAAAGAAAGCGTTGGCATAACAAAAGAGTGAACTCCCACATGACTGGTTTGGGACACCAACATGGCCGCCGTTTCATTTTTTTGGGACAACAATATGGCCGCCGTGACGTCATGTGAAAACACTCTTTACGCACTTCCACGGTTTTTTTTTTTCAGTTTTAGATAAATAGCAATAAGCGGATATCCATTGACACTGCTTTACCTAGTTTCGACTAAGCATTTTTTTTTTTTTCTAAAAAAGTTGTTTGGTTATGATTTTTTTTCTTAAGTGATAGCGCTTTCCATTCCGGCGTGGTCGGCCTTAGTTTCTCGTCTTAATCCGAAGTGACTAAGACTTTTCAGAATTGTGGGGAACTTGCGGGGGAAAAGTAGCGGATTCCAAGCCTTGAAAGCAAAAGTATTATTGTTTTTCGTTCAAGTAAGAAAACGTTTTCTCTGCTTCCCGAAATCAGGGCTTACTAAATGTTCTGGAATCCCTGATAACCATTTCATCTCATCTTATCAATCAGTCAGTCAATCAATCAATCAATCAATCAATCAATCAATCAATCAATCAATCAATCAATCAATCAATCAATCAATCAATCAATCAATCAATCAATCAACAACCAACCAACCAACCAATTATTCAATAAGTCGTATCTTAGCCGTATACGTCAAGTTTCTTCGCTTCCTTTGACCTACGCCAAGCGAGTGGAACACTAAAAGTAGCTTTCTCTGTAACATGACGCAAATTTTTGTTGCAGTGGACGGTAGGATCTGGGATCAAGTCATTGAACTGTATCCTCGTCTTGTGGAATGCTCTGTTTGTAACTCGACGCAAGTCCGACGAGCCTTACGGGAGGCACTTCAAGAGTACGCTGACTTATTAAGACCGCCGACTCATACTTCAACTATTAATGGTGATCGGTAGCTTAGGACAGTTCCTCTACGTTTATTTTAAGAGCTTTCAAAGCTACATGTGACGATTCACGTTCGTTGGAGCACGTGAAAGGATAAGAGATCACAGTGCACAATCCTTAGAAAAACAGACAAACGAAAATAATGAAAATGGCTTAAATATTAGCGGAAACTGTATTTGTTCAATTACCATTGCAGAATGTTTGCTTTTGGTATGCGTAAACGTTATACCATTGTTCTGAAGAAGCTGTAAATAATGTTTAGGAGTTTTCACTCGCGGGAATTTCATAATATTTAACGAATTTTACCTAGAAGAATGACCAAAATAAATGCGCTTTTCATCTACCAAAATTAGGATATTGTTCTTTCTTTGTCTTCCAACGGTTAATTCAGTTGGTCGAAACGCACAACTAGACGACATTTCGTCACTACTTAGAGCTGGTGCTACCTAATCCAAAGCCAGACTACTGCTTTAACAGACAAAATTTTTTTGCAAAAGGAAACCTTTGCTTATGTAATTTGCAGGTTAATAAGTCAATAAAACTTAAATGATTTTGATTCCATATGAAAAATGTCCTCCTTGTTCGTTTATAGTGTTAAATGTGTCAGAATCAAATTCCTAAAATCTGATGGTTTGTTAACCTCCATTATTATTCATTCAAAATATTTATCCGTTTCTGATTGGCTCAAATCCAACGGATAATTTTCCGTAACCAGCTATCGTTGGACAAATTCGGAAGACGTTTGCGATAAGTGGAAAACGACGTCAATGGTACAACATTCCGTTTCTGATTGGCTCAAATCCTACGGATAATTTTTCGTAACCAGCTAACGTTGCACAAATTTGGAAGACGTTTGTGATATGTGGAAAATGACGTCAATGGTACAACATAAATGCCAGAAAAAATGGGCTACAAACCGACACGCCCTTGGACAAGGTTGCGTTGATTGGTGGAGCAGTACAGAATGGCGGAAAATTTTACACCTTTAGCGAAGGAGAAATAGCCGAACTATTGCCTAAAATCATGGCGATAACCGGAAGATAACAACTCCACAGACGGCATCTGCTCTTTGAAGAATATTAGAAGTAAACATCCCTTTATCTCCTGAACTTGCCGAGAAACAGGCGAATAAAGACGGGAAATTCGAACATCGATAGAGGTAAGCATGTTTTGGCTTGTTATTAAACTACGAATTATTTTGAATGAATGATAAAACAATTATTGGATTCGGCTTTCGAATACTCTGAAGAATTATGGAGATCCCGAGATACCACCCTCCGACATCTGCATCATTCTTCAGATCACACGTAGCCTCATTCAATAATTATTGTTAAAAATGTACATGTATAGGTAATAACATGATTCGTAATCATGCTATTTGTTTATACTACTCCCCGCAAAAGGTTTGTAATTTTCACATGTAGGTATTTCAAATTAAGCTGAAATACCACTGCTCTAAGCCAATCAAATTGCAGATATTTCTCATGTCGTAGTATAAATTGCTTTAATTCGCTATTGGAAGTTGCTAACTGTGCCATTTGTCCTGTCCAATTACAAGAAGAACGTAATCGGGCAGATCCCCACACCAAATCGGATGTTAAGAAAACAACCAATGAAACTTTTTGCGGGTAATTAGTATAAACAAATAATAGCATGATTTGTACTTGACATTTGGCATAAATACCACTCGTGATATTTCAAAATTGTCTCAAATTTCACTCGCCTAACGGCTCGTAAAATTACGTATAACAATTTTGAAGTATCACTCGTGGTATTTATGCCAAATATAACTACTAATCATGCTATTACCTATACTAATTCGCTATTGGAAGTTGGTAACTGTGCCATTTGTCCTGTCCAATTACAAGAAGAACGTAATCGGGCAGATCCCCACACCAAATCGGATGTTAAGAAAACAATTAATGAAAATCAAGGAACAAATGTTGCTAGCCCGTGAAATAATTAATCTACATATTCCATGAGAACCAATCAAAATCAATGAGACAGTAATAGGTGAGTAGGCTGTTATTTTTATTTAATGTAATTAAATAATTCATTTATTTATTTTACTTCGTTGTATCCACTTAATTAGGAATCTTTAATATTTTTCCATCTAATTTAATGTATTAGTTTTACTATTTTTTCCCTTTCTCTCTTTAGTTATTTCTTGATTGATGAATCGTCTGTTTCTTTAACTTGACTGTATAACCTATAGAGAGAAATAAAATTGACTACTACGAAGGAATAATTTTTATTCAGACGTATTCTTAATTAGACCCTGCCAACCTGTTTGCAACATTAATGTGAAAGCGTTGAAACTTAAGAAAACCACACAGTTCCTGAAGTCGACCACGTTACTTTGGAAGCTGTACACTGATGTAACAAGACCTTTGTACTAACCTATAGAGAAAAATAAAATTGACTACTACGACGGAATAATTTTTATTCAGACGTATTCTTAATTAGACCCTGCCAACCTGTTTGAAACATTAATGGGAAAGCGTTGAAACTTAAGAAAACCATACAGTTCCTGAAGTCTACCATGTTTTTGCTTTGGAAGCTGTACACTGATGTAACAAGACCTTTGTACTAAACAAATGTTTCAATCCTTAGGCTATTCTGATAATAAATATATTCTAAATATTGCAACTCTCCACTTAAACGACCAGCGAAGAAATCGCCCCGAAAACTCAGTTCTTGAGCCCATAAACGAACTATCAAAAACTTTTATATTTTTTAACCAAAATTATAAGTTAACCCCATGAAACATTAAATCCAATTTTTCGACTCTATAAGATCGATATTTTCCTTGCCTTGACAGGTTTCTTTCATCAAATATTATTTCATGCCCTTTTAGAGAAGATAAATATATATGATAGATAAATAAATAAGACAATTAAAAAAATGTTTATATAAATATCAGTTGTGACATGTCTGGATTGTTGGAGAGAAGATGGACAGAGTGGGCACTTATTTAGTTCGCTCAAATGTCACTGGGAAGAAAAGATCTACAGTTTTTGTCACTTCAGTTTGCAATTCTTTTGCGGTATTAAAGTTCCGTGCCGCCGGCGATGTCAAAGAGAATGGACAAGAAAAGCCACGCTGATGTAGTCTTATTTGGCCGAGAGGTAAGTTAATTTGTGCGGTATATTTTTAAGTCTGAAATAGGTGAGGATTTGGAGAACCCCGCAGGCACACCCCCACCAAGAATTCCAAGAAGTACCCCCCAGGAAACAAAAGACAAATACCGTAAAATTCCGAAAATAAGCCCCGGAGCTTATATTTTTCAAGGGCCCTTTTTGAGGGGCTTATTTTTGGAGGGGCTTATATTCGGAGGGGCGTATCTACGGAGGGAAATTTGCATTTCAAAATAGATTGCGCTAGCCTTATAGTTGGAAGTAAATTTACCGTTTTTGCTTTGTTTTACTTTGTATTTGAGGGCAATTTCGAAGTGCAAGCCCCTGGGGGGCTTATATTTGGAGGGGGCGATTTAACGGAGGGTTTTTTGCGTTACGAGTTTGGGGGGCTTATACTTGGAGGGGCTTATTTTCGGAATTTTACGGTATATATATAGTTAGCTTAACTTAAAGGGATTTTTTAAGTCTCAGTTTTCAAGGGATGTACATTTATTTAGTTACTTTTTTCCTTCATTTTTCATTTAATTTTAAAGACCCAAGAGCTACTTGGATCGAGCCACGATGCGAGTGAAAGAGTTTTCCAATTCCCCAGTTCTCCGCGCCTCTCGCGACTGTTCGTGTGCTTCACGCTTCGAGTTTATTTCTTCAAACTAACTAGTCAATCCGCGGGGCTAATACATCACGCACATGTACAATTATAGAATGATTTACTTCAATAATTTACATGTTCATCTCCAATTGAGGGAAAAATTCGGTCTCTGACGCCCAGATTGCTGAACACCTTGTGCGAGCCTTGCTACTCATCTTTCTCCTTTTTCCGTACAAACATTGAAATATTCGAATGTTTTGTTTTTTCCGATATATAACTGAACTTATCGCATTTCCCTTACCTCTTAACCGAAAAAAAAAACACGTTCGTGATCTTGTTCAGTCGGAGTAGCAAACGTACGCGCCATCACTGATCAAATTTTCCCAGGATTGAAAAAGATGCTTAGCATTCTTCTTGGTTTTAGAAAGCACGTGCGGTATGTTGCATGTATGCGCGCAAGGAAGCTCAGCCTCGACAGTGAGAGATTGTTTGTTTTATCTCCCGGCCAAATAATATATCAGCATCTCTGGTGTCTATTCTCTTCGAGATAGGCAAATTGAAACGATAGACTATACAGTCTTTTCTTCCCAACCCAAACTTGGAAGTGACATTCAAGCGAACCACATAACTGCCCACTCCAGAGATGTCACAACTGATATTTATATCTTAATATTTGAAATTCTTATTTTTTCATTTATTTGTCTTGTTTTTAATCTATCTTATATATTTTTCTATTAAATTTCTACCTGGAGTTATAAAAACCAGGTTGGCAAACATTTCGTAATTTTTCTCAATTGCCTCTGTCTAACAGCTTGTTTACTGTGTTGTTTGCTGATGTTGGTTTTTTTGGCTTGTTTTGTGGTTTTGGGTAGAAGTAGGTGTAGACAAAATTAATATCTAGCCCCCCCCTCCTCCCTTCCCAACCTCCCTCCTTATTCTGTTTCTTTCCTACCCACAATTCTCTATTTAACACAAGTGACAGTTATTTGAAATCAGTGCGCGCCTAAAGCTGGTTTCGCTGCCGTTTACCAGTTTACTTTTGCAAGTATTGGTCATCTTGAGAAAAGTTTCCCGGAGAGCATCATGTAAAGCTCTGAGATGGGACAAAGTTATCACGATTCGCAGACTCTGCATCGTCCAATATCGTATTATATTCTCGTTTCATTTGGCTAAACGGATCAATAACCCTGATCCGGGCTGAGACAGAAAGGTACGATATTGTTCGCTTTTCTAAGGTGACCACTAAGTCTTTGGCCTCGGGAACAGGCTCTTACAAGTCAAATGAATTAGGTGAGAGCAAAATTGCATGTCAACTTTAACCCGGGCCAAGACTTAGTATTTTTCTGGTGTGAAAACAAGGCTAAGGTGATCCGCCCACCGTGTGACTCTACATCCGGGAACTTCAATGAGACGAGTGTAAGAAAAAACTTCACTGGTCCAGAGGTGTTTATCTTTGGAAAATTGTCAATTTTTCGACTTTTTGGACTTCATGTTTTTATAGCCTAGAAAGGTGTTTTTTCGTTCTAGAATATCATAAAAGACATTTTCCAGGCCTATATTGCCTAAAAAAAAAAAGTTGGAAAAATGGCCATTTTTGGACCAAAACCATGGGTTAACCCCTTTGGAAAAATGTCAATTTTTGGACTTTTTGGAATTCTTGTTTTTATAGCCTAGAAAGGGATTTTTTCTTTCTAGAATATCATAAAAGACATTTTCCTAGCCTATATTGCCTAAGAAAAAAAGTAGGAAAAATGGCCTTTTTTGGACCAAAACCATGCGTTAACCCCTTTGGAAAATTGTCAATTTTTCGACTTTTTTAAAATTCTATTTTTAT